TATAAATTTCTCTCAGCACTGTTTTATATTTTTTAGTGTACATATAATATTGTGTTAAATTTATTCCTAGACAGTTCATGATTTTTAAGGCTGCTGTAAAGTAGTAATTTAATATTTCAATTTCTAATTGTTCACCACTAATATTGGGTTGTCAGAAAAGTCATGATGCATTTTTGCAACGAAAAACTTAGAAAGACTATGTCATGACTTTTCTGACAACCCAATATATAGAAATACAACTGACTATAAAAGGAAAAATAATAAATTCCAGTTTATCATAATTAATAGCTTCTGCTCTTCAAAATACACCATTAAGAAGTGAATAGGCTTACTTTTTTTTTTTTAAGATTTTATTGGGGAATTGGGGGATGGGAACAGTGCTGGGGAATTGGGGGAAGGGGAACAGACAAGTTGCTGTCGACTTGTTCCTCAGTCTAGTTGTGGAGGATGTCGCCTCACCGGCCCAAGTTGGCACCATCATTGCACTCTTCCCGGCGAGGCAGATCAGTCGCCGGCCTCTGGACCGCCGTTCACTGCGGCTGCTGGCCGCTCACGCTGGCTGCTGGCTACACACATTAGCCCATGGCAACCCACTGCCACAGGGGCAGCAGCCCACACTGCCGCCGGCGATCCACAGCAGCCCAGCTCCAGGTTGAGCTGCTGTAGAGGGCAGTGTCACTGGCCCTCACATGCGGGATCCGAACCGGGGCCCTCCGGCATCTCAAGCCAGCCCCCAACCATCGTGCCACTCGGCCGGCCCTAGGCTTACTTTTAGAAATAAATTATTTCCATTCTTAAAAACAAAAAAAGAAATGAATAGGCAAACCACAGAATGGGAGAAAATATTTGCAGTACATGTGTCTACAAAGGGCTTGTATCTAGAATATACAAAGAATTCTTATATCTCAATAATAAGGTAAACAACCCAGTAAAAAATGGGTATATATTTGAACAGGTACTTCACAAAATAAGATATATTAATAATTACATGAAAAACTGGTTAACATTATTAGTCATCAGGGACGTATAAGTTAAAACTACAATAAGAATCCATTATACACTGGAGTAAGTAGGACTCTACAATTAATAGTAACATCATCTTTCTGCTGTGCTGTCCTTGGCTTATTGACTGTATCCTCAGGCTTTCTTTATGGTTAGGAGGCGGCTGCCATAGTTCCAGGTATTATATCCAGATTAAAAATGTCTTCAGAGGGCCGGTTGAGTGGCTCAGTTTGGTTAAGAGCTCGCTCAAGAGTGCGAACTCTGAGCAGCAGCGGTTTGAGTCCCGGCCTGAGCTGAGCTGCCACTGAGCTGCCAACAGGTGGCAGGATGGCTCAGCTAAAAAAAAAAAAAAATTTCTTCAGAAAGAAGAGAGGCTGCTTTCCTGTGTATTTTCTTAAGAGCAAGAAAACCTTTCCCAAACAATGTCCCCTCATAGCTTATTGGCTAGCATTACTTCATATTTTATTCCTAATCACTGACTCACAAGGGAAAGGGAAAGTAATCGAAACCCATTCCCTGAAACAATGGATTGGGCCAGCCTTTCCTGAGACAAATGGCTGCCAGAAAGAGAGCAGATAGAGTATATACCTGAACAAAACCAGGGTTATGGTAGAATGGTGGAAGGGGTGAACTATGGATTTGGGGTAGGCAACTAGCTCTGTCTGCTGTAGTAAGCTGTGTACATGAAGGCAAACGTACAAGTATGTTGGATCTTTTAAATGAATTTTTTTTGAGTGTTTAATTCTAGGGAAGAAAGTCATTGACTATTAAAAGTACTTACCCATACGGAGTAAGAAGGTGGTCCAGTTTTATTTTTTTGCATGTACGTGTCCAGTTTTCCCAGCACCATTTATTGAATAGCCTGTCTTTACCTTAGTGTATATTCGTGCTTCTTTTGTCATAGGTCAAATGACGGTATAGGCATGGATTTATTTCTGGGCTCTCTATTCTGTTGCATTGATCTGTGTGTCTGTTTTTATGCCAATACCATGCTGTTTTGATAACTATGGCCTTGTAGTATACTCTGATATCAGGTATCATGAGACCTCCAACTTTGTTCTTCTTTCTCAAGATTGCTGTGGATATTTGGAGTCTTTTATGGTTCCATATAAATTTTAGGATTATTTGTTCTAGTTCTGTGAAAAATGCCATTGGTATTTTGATAAGGATTGCAATTGGATAAAGAAATTGTGGTACATGTATACAATGCAATATTACTCTGCCATAAATAATGAATGAAATCTTGCCATTTGCAACAACATGCATGGACCTAGAGGGTATTATGCTAAGTGACAATAAGTCAGACAGAAAGACAAATACCATATGATCTCACTTATATGTGGAATCTAAAGAACAAAATAAATGAACAAACAAAACAGAAACAGGCCCATAGATACAGAAACCAAGCTGATGGGAGGTATGACAGCTGGGTGAGAAAGGTGAAGGGATTAAGTACAAATTGGCAGTTACAAAAGAGTCACAGGAATATAAGTACAGCATAGGGAATATAGTCAATAATATTGTAAAGACTATGTCTAGTGTCAGATGGATACTAGATTTAGCAAGGGGATCACTTCATAAATTATATAAATGTCTAAACACTACACTGTACACCTGAAACTAATATAAAATAATATGGAATATCACTTGTAATTAAAAAATAGTCACAGGGATATATAGTACAGCATAGGGAATATAGTCAATAATATTCCAATAGCTACGTACAGTATCAGATAGGCAATAGATTTACTGGGGTTATTACTTTGTGAGGTATATATGGAAATGTCTAGTCACTATGCTGTTTTGTACACTTGAAACTAGTTTTAAAAAAATGTATTCCCCATGACACAAAGTTAAGTTACGGAGGGACTGATCCTGAAGCTCCAGGGTATTGGAGACTCCTTTGGAAGATCGGTTTTGCTTTGAAATCAGAGAGAATTCCATGACTGTGATATACAGGCATGTTTCAGGGAAATACCAACAGTACCATTTAAAGAACTGCTTTTCTAGCTACATCAGGCTGAAATTAATGCCATCCTACTGGTATGCCATCAGCAAGAATTATAGGCATATGATTAGACAAAAATGTATATGAATTTATGCCAAGGAATAAGAGAATGCAGTGGAAGCAGTATAGGGCCTTGGTTAGGAAAAGTGACGTTGCAGTAAGACAAAGGTTTATATCCTTTTTCTGCTGCTGGGTAGTATTAATAGTAATTGGACAAATTACTTAATCTCTTTAGCCTGAGTTTCTATAATGTATCTATAAAACAGGGACACGAATCTCTACCTCCTCTGGTTATTGTAAGGGTTAACGGAGATACAGTCTATAATGCTGCTTAATAGCAGTGTGGCCTGTGGCAAGCTCTCTGTAAAAGGTAGATCTGTATTATTTTCACTTAGCCTGGATACCAGTGTTTTGGCTCTTACTCAGTACTTAGGCCAATGATTAGCACTATTATCATTTGAAATAATAATTTTTATTTTTCTTTAAATCAGTAGGCTTAATATTTATACCAACATTCCTCCTCTAATACTTTTGATAGGTTTATACTCCTCAGTAGTTCACTCCATCTTTGTCAGTCTCCCCACATTCACAGGATGACTAATAAGATGAAGCGGTAAGCCCAAGTCTTGAAAGCAAGCAAGCTTAAGTGGTCTAATGTGGGAGTCACCACGGAATCCCCAGTGACTGGAAATAGTGCCTAACACATATTAAACACTCAATAAGTGTTGGCAGTTGAATGAATGAATGTTGCTAATGTTTTTTACTCCCGAGTTCATGGTTTACCTTTTGGTTTTATTACATGTTTTGATGTATAGAATTGTTAAATTTTAATTTAGACCAATTAACAAAGTTTTCTCTTGGCTTGTTACATTACATCTCAGGGAGTCCTTCTCTCTGGAGATCAGGTAAATATTTGCCTATGCTTTCACCTAGATTTTTAATGATTTCTTTTTTTCACATTTAACTCTGACCTATCTACAAGGTCAAGAGCTAACTGTAGAATTGTAACACGATGTAAGGAATAATCCTTTATTCTCCATCAATCTTTGCTACCTTATTTAGTTATATTGAATTATTATGTACTAGCTTCTGAGTTCTCTTTTCTGTTTCATTTGTTGTTCTTTTCTTGTTCCTATTACACACTTTAAAAATTATGGCATTCTTGGGCCGGCCAAGTGGCTCAGTTGGTTAAGAGCTCGCTCAAGAGTGCAAGCTCTGAGCAACAGGGTCGCTGGTTTGATTCCCAGACTGAGCTGAGCTGTCGCTGAGCTGCCAACAGGTGGCAGGATGGCTCAACTAAAAAAAAAAATTATAGCATTCTTAGTCAGAAATGCCAAATAAGTTACTCTCAGACTCATTCAGTATAATAATTAGGACACAGTATAGGCTGTTGTAACAGAGAGACTCCAAAATACAGAGGCTCAAATAAAAGTGAAGCTTATTCTATCTTTTCTGTAACAGTGAGAGGTATGTGAGGTCCAGACCTGAAGAGGCAGACCTTCTCCAGAGTCTTTGGAGACTGGGACTCAGGGTCCTTCTATCCTGTAGCTCTGCCAGCCCCTCAGGTGATGTCCTGGTCTGTGTGGTTGAAGCTGTGTGGTCTCATCTCCACATCCATGTTCCAGGCTGTGGGAAAGGGGGTGGGGGAAGTGCTGGAAAGTGCCTTTGAGCTGATGAGCCACACATGGCGCTTATTACTTTTTCTCACATCCCTTTCATAGACTAAACCACATTGCCACACCTACCTTCAAGAAAGGCCAGGGAAAATGGAATCAAGCTGGAAACATGTGGATTTGGCTAAAAGTTGAGATGTCCTATTATTAAAAAGGAGGAGGACGGGTACTAAGGACAGCTAATGGCCTTTGACCCAGTCCAGTATTCATTGTTACAAATAATCATATTTAACAGGGACATATTATTTTTGCTGTGTGAAAAATCAGCCTTTGGAGATGACAATAAAATACAAATATGTCCTGATTTTTGGTTTCAGATGGCCAGTAACCCATGTGCCAGGTAGCATTCTGTGCCAATCTTTGAATACCAAGAAGTCACTGGACAGCAGATTCTTTCAAGATCTCAACTGGAATAAGTTGGAAAAGAAGAGAAAAGAATCAACATTATGGCAAAAGTAAATAGAGGTCAGTCCACCGCCCCTCCGGATGGAGGCTGGGGCTGGATGATTGTGGCTGGCTGTTTCCTTGTCACCATCTGTACCCGGGCCGTAACCAGGTAGGTAGGATTTTTTTGTCTTGATTTATTAAGATGATCTGGCTTATCTTTTATTTTAAGTCTGCTTCATTCTATTCCTTAACCTTTCATTGAGTGAGGGTGTGTGTGTGCGTGTGTTTCCTTTGACTGTTCAGATGTCTTTGTCTTTGTAAGGAATGTGATCTCTTCTATAATATCTGACACATAAACCTGAAGTGTTAGACATTTTTAGACTAAATATTGTGGCTATTCAGCCATTTGTTTTCATAAGCAGCTCATCCTAGAAAGGAAAAACATATAAGATCAAAATAGCCCTTGGAAACCTTTTGGCTCACCAGACACTGAGCCACTGGATGCTTAAAACCCAGAATTTAAATTCTTTTGCTTCGTTCTGCATTTGGCTTTGGTGGTGGGGGGCTGAGTTCTAGGGTAAAGGAGAGCAAAAGCATAAATAGAGGGATTCTGTCAGTCTCACTTGCTCATGTCTCCTTCTTTCTCTCTTTTTCTTTTATCCAACGGCATAGTGTTGAAAATGCTTAAGCTAAATGTGTATACATTGAGACTCCTTGGAACAAATACATACCTGAAAAGTGCGTGTGCTAGCTCTTTCCTCTACGGGTGCTTTCAGTCAAATTAAAGTCTGTTCTTCTTGGGCAGCACACACTTGGCAGTAGAGAAAAGCAATTTGCACTAAGAACTTTATTTGATAGCATACTCAATAAAAGCATTGACGTTACCTTCATAACAAAAATATAATGCAGGAAAGAAGCAGGATGTTTGGTTTTGCTGCAATAAGGTTGGTTAATTATGTGTCATAATAGACTGTAGACTTGTTTCAAGGAATATGATTGGTGCTGAGTCTGATTTTTCTCCCATCAATATTATGGATCTTGTGTACTGTACTGGGTGTGCGGAGGTCACAGAGTTAAAAGGATTCTCTTTCATCTTGCTTCTTACATGTGGAAGCTTCCATCATTCCCCTGACAGGAAAGTTCTGGAAGTGAGCTCAGTGCTTTATAAGAGGGGCTGCTGGAAACCAGAAAAGAGGGCTGTGGCTGGTAGCAACATCCTGTTATTAGCAGTTACTGGGAGAGGGTGAGAGGAGGATCCCTGAGCAGAATAAGCTTGGAGGAGAAAAGGATAGGCAGCATCAGAATCTAAATGTTATGAACCAGGAAGCAATCGAGAGAACTGGAGACGGGGACAAGGCAAGTAGCCTACAGGGTGATGTGTCAATTCAGAGGATCAGTGCCTATTGAACAATTAACTCTTTTTGTCTTTTTTTTTTAAAGATTTTTATTGGGGAGCTGGGGAAGGGGAACAGTGTTGGGGAATTGGGGGAGGGGAACAGCCAAGTTGTTGTCCTTCAATCTTAGTTGTGAAGGGCGCAGCTAGCTCAGCTCCAAGTCCAGTCACTATCCGGCCACCCATCAGCCGCTCAGCTCAACGTGCTGTGTTCAATCTTAGTTGCGGGGGACACAACCCGCCATCCCATGCGGGAGTCCAGCTGGAAACCTTGCTGTTAGGAGTACGTGCTCTCACCAGCTGAGCCATCCTGCTACCTGTTGGCAGCTCAGCAGCAGCTCAGCTCGGTTGCAGCTCACTGGCCCATGTGGGAATCAAACCAGAGACCCTGTTGCTCAGGGCTTGCGCTCTTAACCAACTGAGCCACTCTGCCGGCCCTGTCTGTTTTTTTAATTTTTATTTCTAGTTTTGTTGAGAAATAATGGACATAATATCACTGTATAAGTTTAAGGTATACAGCATGGTGGTTTGGTTTATATATATTGTGAAATGATTACCACAATAAGTTCAGCTAACATCCATCTTCTCATATAGATACAATAAAAAGGAAGAAAAAGAAGGAAAAACAATTGTTCTCCTTGTGATGAGAATTCTCAGGATTTACTCTCTTAACAACTTTCCTATATATCACACAGCAATGTTAGCTATAGTCATCATGTTGTCCCTTACATCCCTAGTACTTATCTTCCTTATAACTCGAGGTTTGTACCTTCCTCCGCTTACCCCTTCTCCACCTTCTGCCTCTGGTAACCATAAGGCTAATCTCTTTTTCTATGAGTTTGTTTGTTTTTAAGATTCCACATATAAGTGAGATCATATAATATTTGTCTTTCTTTGTTTGACTTATTTCACCTAGCATAATGCCTTCAAGGTCTATCCATATTGTCATAAATGATCGGATTTCCTTATTATTTTATGGCTGAATACTGTAATATTCCATTGTGTGTGTGCACACACACATACACACACACATATACACTTTACACTTCTTTATCCATTCACCCATTGATGGACACTTAGGTTGCTTCCACGTCTTGGCTATTGTGAGTAATGCTGCTATGACCATGGGGGTGCACATAGCTCTTCAAGTTAGTGTTTTCATTTCCTTTGGATATATTCCCAGCAGTGGGATTGCTGGATCATATGGTGACTCTATTTTTAATTTTTTGAGGAACCTCCATACTGTTTTCCATAGTGGCTGTACCAATTTACAATCCCACCAACAGTCACATCCTCACGAGCATTTGCTCTCTCTTGTATTTTGATAATGGCCCTTCTAACCCACCTCAAGGAGATATCTCATTGTGGTTTTAATTTGCATTTCTCTAATGACTAGTGATATTGAGCATATTTTTATGTATCTGTTCACGTTTCATACATCTTCTTTGTGAAATGTTCTTGAGGTCTTTTGCCCATTTTTAATTAGGTCATTTGGTTTTTTACTGTTGAGTTGAATGAGTTATTTATATGTGTTTTGGATATTAAACCCTTATCAGATATATGGTTTGCAAATATTTTTCCCATTCTGTGGGTTGTCTTTTTACTTTGTTGGTTGTCTCTTTTGCTGTGCAGGAGCTTTTTAGTTTGATACAGCCCCACTTATTTGTCTTTTATTTCATTTCTTGTGCTTTAGGTGTCATATCCAAAAAAAATCATTACCAAGATCCATGTTAAGGAGATTTTTCCCTATGTTTTCTTCTAGGAGTTTCATGATTTCGGGTCTTACATTTAAGTTTTTAATCCATTTTAGGTTAACTTTTTTTGTGAGTGGTATAAGATACGGGTCCAGTTTCATTCTTTTGCATGTGACTATCCAATTATTCCAGCACCACTTATTGAAGAGACTGTCTTTCCTCCATTGAGTATTCTTGGCTCCTTTGTCAAATATTAATTGACTGGATATATTTGGGTTTATTTTGGGGCTCTTGATTCTGTTCCTTTGGTCTATTTGTCTGTTCTTATGCCAGCACCATATTGTTTTGGTGACTGTAGCTTTATTGTATACTTTGAATCAGGAAGTGTGATATTTCCTGGTTTGTTTGTCTTTCTCAGGATTTCTTTGGCTATTCAGGGTCTTTTGTGGTTCCATATAAATTTTAGGAGTGTCTTTACTACTTCTGTAAAAAACAAAAATAAACAAATGCCATTGGAATCCTGACAGGTGTTGCATTGAATCTATAGATGGCTTTTGATAGTATTGACATTTTAATAATATTGTCTTCCAATCCATGAACACAGGATACCTTTCCATTCATGTGTATCTTCTTTGATTTCTTTTATCAACATCTTATAGTTTCTTGTAAAGATCTTTCACCTCCTTCATTAAATTTATTCCAAAGTATTTTATTGTTTTAGATGCTATTGTAAATGGAATCAATTTCTTTATTTCTTTTTCTGAAATTTTGTTGTTAGTGTATAGAAATGCTAATGATTTTGTATGTGAATTTTATATTTTGCAACTTTACTGAAATCACTGATTAGAACTAACAGGTTTTATTTGGTTGAGTCTTTAGGATATTTTATATGTAAAACCTTGTCATATGCAAATAGAGACAATTTTACTTCTTCCTTTACAATTCTGATATCTTTTATTTCTTTTTCTTGCCTGTTTTCTCTAGCTAGGACTTCCAGTACTATGTTGAATAGGAGTGGTGAGAGTGGGTACCCTTGTCTTATTCCTGATCTTAGAGGAAACACTTTCAACCTCCCACCGTTGAGTATGAGTATGGTATTAGTTGAGGGATTGTCATATACAGCCTTTCTTATGTTGAGCTATGTTCCTTCTATGCCTAATTTGTTAAGAATTTTTATCATGAATATTGAATTTTATCAAATGCTTTTTCCTAATGTATTGAGATGATCATGTGATTCTTTCCTTTCATTATATTGTGATGTATCACACTGGTTATGTTGAACCATTTTGCATCCCAGGGATAAATCCCACTTGGTCATGGTGAGTAATCCTTTTAATGTGCTCTGAATTTACATCCAGCAGCAACTGGAGAGGCAGGAGAGTGAAATAACAGGTTACTATGGGCTCCTGAAGCATAATGAATTGGAATGCAGCCCTATCCAAGGAGACTGATAATCTCCTACCTCATCCCCAAGCCACAAGGCCTGATTTCTTCTCCTGTTATCACTGAGCTCTAAAAGCTTCCTCCTGTTCTGAATTAGGACATCATGCTTTAAGCTCTGATTCAATCTATGTTCATTCATTTTAAAAAAAAAAAACATGCTTGCACTGTATTTTTCAGATGTATCTCAATTTTTTTTGTGGAGTTCCAGACACACTTTGCTCAGGATTATGCACAAACAGCGTGGATCCATTCCATTGTAGACTGTGTGACCATGCTCTGTGGTGAGTATTATTTACCAGGAATAGAAAATTACTGGCTACTCTCAAACTGTACATGACAATGACCTCCTACTGCCTTTGATTACCAGTTTTTCGAAGTAGAAAGGTAAAAATTGGCTAAGACTAAAAGAAAATATTGATCCTATCTTCTGTCAAATCCAACCACTGTGCTCTTGAAATTAATTGTCAGATGGAAGAGGTACTTAATAACTCAGAAGGACAGATACCCTTTTGTTCTTCCATAGAAAGATGGGGTGCTGTGCATCATAGGACTTGTTCTGATTTTGCAAGCAGCTAATCATACAGTATATGCTTGGCTTCTTCCTTCCAAATGCTGTAATCCCCTCATTCTCTAGTTATGTAAACAGTCATTGGATAGCACCATGAGCCATTTCTATATGATCTCCTTAAATAAGTGCAAACAATATGTGCATTGGATTGCAAGTCTTGTTTTCATTTTATTGACTTCCCAGAGGTTTCAAACTTTGTCTCACAGATTTCATCATTTCTCATGCATAAATCTTCATTCTTAGAGAAGTATTGGGGAAGCATAGGATGGTGTAATTATGAGATGAGTACATTCACTATGGCAGTAATTTCATTCAAGAAATCGCAAAGGTGGTATATATAGGGTACCACAGAGTGCTCTCAAAATTCATGAAATATCTCATTCCATCTATATAGTAGAGGAAAACTAACCTTGAGATTTTTCTTTTTATAAATTTCAAACGAAAGTTATTAAATTAGTGGCTTAGAGAGTTTCTGAGTTTGAGTCAAATTGATATGATCTATTTGAGGTTAGACCTATTTAATCCTTTCATTTCGATGATTCCTCAGTATTTTAGAAAACTTTTATCTTTTCAGGCCATGTCTTGGTGGCAAGAGGGAAATACTATATTATTTAGTAACTCATAAATAATGTTATCTGATTCCAATCTAGGTACTAGTTCGTGTTTATTTTTAGAAAAAAAGTGTACATATTCAGGAATCAGTTAAATCATTCTGAAATTTATTTCCTTGGTTGGGGAGAATTTGAGAGCTATTCTAGGACTAAAAGCAGGTTTCATGAAAAGGCTAAATTAATTCGTTATACTAATAACACTGGAAGGTCGTAAGGGATCAAAATATCAAAACTTTCGGGTTTCTAGCCTGTCTATATATGCATATTTTTTTAAACCAGTAATACAGATACTAGGTTTTCAAGGTCATGATTAGTCATTGCCTTTGTATGAGCACTCCAAGACAGCCATGTTTGTCTTTCTCAGAGCATACAGGTGACTCATTTTCCTCACTTTTATCTTTTGGAGAATATTTATAATCCCTAAAAGAGGAATAGATGACCTTCAGTGACCAATATGGTCACAATGACCATGGGAGACATTAAGCTAAAGCAGGGTCATGGTAGCATGACCTTAAATATGCAGCATATTTAAATTACATGCAAGGATTTAAGGTCCAATTACCATACACCCACTTGCTCACCTGGCAACATTGGTTTTGTACAGAGTATCAACAAGAGGCTGCAGAATCACATCTAGGACACTCATCGGGGATATATCTGCTCTATGATAAACAGAGACGTGAACATTTTTCATTGGATTTGGTGAAAATTTTGTCACTTTTCCAACTACTATTGCAGCAACAGCCTGGAGAATTGGACATATTTTTATGTTCAATTTCTATTCTTTAGAGGTTATATATACAGCCAGCCACTCTTTTAACTAGACAGAAAACATTAGGCTGATGACTGATTCTGTCATGTACATTTGAACCAGGCCCAAATTTCAACCTGATCAATACAAAAATTATACTCCATAGATACCCAGAGAACTGGCTTTTCTGATCTTGTCACTAGGAGTACTGGTGTCAGCATCAATTGTTCCTTAGAAAGAAACTTACATGCTTTCCTTACCCATCCTCCCTGCCGTCAGTCTGGGGGACACAAGGAGCCAGAGTAACAGGGTGAAATAACCCCACACTCAGTGTCAGGAGCCCTGAGCTATACCTCTTGGTGACCTTGGGCATGTCATAATGATTCCCCTGAACTTCAGTTTCTCCTTGGCCTCTTCCAGCTTTAATATTCTATAAACCTGACAGCTAGCACAATTCTGACACAAATATTGTACAATGAGGCCAACCAAAATGTCACCATGGGTGTGAGCATTTTCTTCGATTTTTCTGGGTTTTGACGTCTCATCTGTAGGGTTTCCTAAAACCTGAAAACAATGCCAGGTTGTGGCATTTGTCTATGATCTCTTTGCTTGGTCTTTTCCTGCATAATACTGCTGGCCACACAGTATTGCCCACTTTCCTTCTTCCCAATTAATTGTCATAATTATTGCTAATGGTGTATGAGCAATACTGTATGAAACATACAAGGCACATCCTGTGCATGTGACATGTAGTTTAAATAAGGAGTTGATTCGCTGTTTAAAAAATACCCCATAGTCCTGGGATTATGTCCTGGGGCTGTAATAGAATGGATAAGTGGAATGAACACTGAAATGCAAGTCAGGAGACTTGATCTTAGTTCCAGATTTGCTACTTATTCTCTGTGTGACCATGGACAATTCATTTCCTCTCTCCTCAGTTTCCAGATCAATAGACCGAGCACATGGGGTGGGGTGAGGGGAGAGGCTTGATGCTTTAAAAGTCAGCCATTCTCTGCTCTGCCAATGCAACGCCCCAGCCTTTTCACAGTGCCCTTAAGGCCTTTCTGCTGAACCTGTTTATTATTGTTTTTGAAGCTCCACTTGGGAGTGTTGTCAGTAACCATTTATCCTGCCAAGTGGGAATCATGCTAGGTGGCTTGCTTGCGTCTACTGGTCTCATCCTGGGCTCCTTTGCCACCAGTCTGAAGCATCTCTACCTCACACTGGGAGTTCTTACAGGTAAGGGCACTTTGTTCCACTTGTTTCACCCCCATCCCATTCAGGGGTTGTCAAGCACATCAACAGAACAGTAATTCATAAAATATTTATTTTGTTAGATGCATAGTTTAGCTGACCTAGCTCATGTCTACCTACATAGCAGTTAAACAAGAGTTTGAAATGCAATTGATTGTACTACTGTAATGAAACTGCATCACCACTTTAATTCAACCACATGATAAAAGTAACTGCCAGGTTTCCCTTTGGCAGCAGTGTATGGCTGAGATTCTGTACTCAGAAGCCACAAGATATTAGCTAGGGCAATGTAAATTTTCAGCAGTGATCAACCTCCCAACATCTTTGCCAAGACGTTAAAATACTATTTGCTGTTGACTGAGCTGTCCTTGCTTTATAGTAAATATCATTCTCCAATAAATGAGTGTTTTCAATTTAAAAAAGAAAGCCTCCTGTTGTGAATATTCTTATATAATACATATTCTCTCTCAATGTCATTTTATGGCAGTATACTTTAGAGAATCATAATGAACCCCATGAAAGAAAAGCAACATATGTGTATTCCCTAAGGGGAATGGGTGGGATCAACATGGGGTGGGTTGGTGGGACTGGAGTAGCAGTTTTCCCCATCACTCAGAGGGGTGTGGAGAGTAGCCTTGTGTCCAAGCACTGTGCCCCAAGGGTAGCATGATCAGGCCGACGCATGATATAAACTCACAGAGAGGCTATACATTTAGCTCTGTCTGTTAAAAAAAGTATTTGTTCCATGTAGTCTAAAGGCCTGGCTGCTAGGGTGTCCAGTCATCCCAGTTTACCAGGGACTGTCCTGGCTTTAGCATTGAGTCTTACATCTGGGAAACCCAGGCCAGTTCGGATCATTGGTGACCCTGCACTGCAGATGGGAACAGGCATTGAAGGTAGTTCTCCATGTCCATCCTTGACATTAGATGCCATGAATTCCAGGTTTAAAGTCCTTCAGATTTTCTTGACTTAAAAGGAATAGAAGCTGAAAATCTTTAAAAGGCTTTCTGCTGGCTTTAAGGAATATTTTCAGGTTGCTATGTGTACATGCGAGGGCCGTGTATAAAATTGGTATGATGTTTCCCAATTACGTGAAGTTACCCTGGAACTTTCATGGGGTCATAAATGCTATTTAAACCCAAATTCCAGAGAGGTCCAGATTATCAGAGTTGTGTCTTCACAGGCAGTGAAGAGTTGAGGCAATTCGCTGGATAATTTAAGTTAAAAAGAGGTGTTGTTGAGGCCTGCCGAGTGGCTCAGTTGGTTAAGAGCTCCCTCAAGAGTGTGAGCTCTGAGCAACATGGTCACCAGTTCAATTCACAGCCCAAGCTGAGCTGCCGCTGAGCTGCCAACAGGTGGCAGGATGGCTCAGCTAAAAAAAAAAAAAAAAAAAAAAAAGAGGTGTTGTTGCGGAGAATAAGTTTCTTAGGTCAGCATTACCCTCATTTTCTAGTTAATTCCAATTTAGTTGGTATAATAGTTTTTAAGTTCTTTATTTCATTTAGTTTAAGAAGTCTTATTTCCTTAAGGTTTTTCTTCCCAAGAAGAAAATCATATGTATGCTACACTTTCCAAATTGTGGATGACTGGTGAGGGGAGACCATTTTTAGGTTGGTGTAGGAAACAGTTTTTAAAGGGTTTAACAGGTCAGGTTCTCTTTAATCCAAATAACTTCATTCTGAGATATTTTCTTTCATTGGCTGTTCATGGTGTACCAGCACTCACAGAGTTCTCTTTATCCCCAGGTCTTGGATTTGCACTTTGTTATTCTCCAGCTATTGCCATGGTTGGCAAGTATTTCAGCAGACGGAAAGCCCTTGCTTATGGGATTGCCATGTCGGGAAGTGGCATTGGCACCTTCATCCTGGCTCCTGTGGTTCAGTTCCTTATTGAACAGTTTTCCTGGCGGGGAGCATTACTCATTCTTGGGGGCTTCGTTTTACATCTTTGTGTTTGCGGTGCCTTGATGCGGCCAATTACTCTTAAAGAGGACCATACAACTCCAGAGCAGAACCATATTTGTAGAACTCAGAAACAAGACTTTAAGCAGGCGTCTCCCTATTCAACTTTGACTAAAGAATGGGTGCAGACCTGCCTCTGTTGCTCTTTGCAGCAGGAATACAATTTTTTACTGATGTCAGATTTTGTTGTGTTAGCCATCTCTGTTCTGTTTATGGCTTACGGCTGCAGCCCTCTCTTTGTCTACTTGGTGCCTTATGCCTTGAGTGTCGGAGTGAGTCACCAGCAAGCTGCGTTTCTTATGTCCATACTTGGGGTGATTGACATTATTGGCAATATCACATTTGGATGGCTAACCGACAGAAGGTAAAATTCATGAAACCACAATTGGTTCTCCACCAGGCAACTTTAAGTTTGGAGTTTCCCTCATCCCCTTTCCTTGTAGAATACCTAGATCTGAATAATGCTGACAACTTTTCAATATGAGGGCAACTCCCTTGCTGGTTCTTCTAGTCAGAGGTTGGCAAACTTTTTCTGTAAAAGGATTGATAGTAAACATTTTTGGCTTTGCGGGTCATATAATCACAACTACCCAATTCTGCTGTTGTAGCACAAAAGCAGCCATAGACAATATGTGAACAACTGGGAGTGGCTAGGTTCCAATAAGGCTTGATTTACGGACAATGAAATTTGAATTTGTCATATACTTTTGACATGTCACAAAATATTGTTCTTATGTTTTTTTTGCCCCAACTACTCAAAAATGGAAAAACCATTCTTAGTTCACAGGTAGTTCAAAAACAGGTGGTGGGCTGGATTTGGTCATAGTTTGCCGACCCCTGTTCTAGATGGTTTAGGATGGTAGGTATTTCTAAACTGCAGAACACTAGGGTAACTACAAGTTCTGGTGACAGATTTCATTCCATCCTAAGTCAAGTCAGTCCTCAAGTAAGACAACTTATGGCTGGGTGTTGTGGTTTTAGTTTCTTTTGAACCACCTCAGAGACCGGCTGGCAGTGGAGGGAGGGGCAGAATCCAGCCTAGGAAGGAGGATTGGGTACAATAATAACACATTACCTGTGGCCACATATTTATGTTTGACGGTGCAAATAGCAAATACTTACATTATAATTTTAGGCTTAGAAACCAAAGTTCTAAGAAATCTACTAAATAGTTTCTTCAGCTAATGTTTATCTGTTTGGATTGAAGACAGCAAGCTCCTCATATTCTCCTAAATGATGGACTCTTCACACTTGTGCTATGACCTGGGAGAGCTATTATTATGTGGCTTCTCATACATTTTATCTTTGGTAATTAATCAGGATCCAACTGCCATGTTATGAATATAATAGTTAGGATTAATTCCACATTTTTAATTGTTAAGGAAGAGGGGAAGAGCAGGGGTTTCTGTCTTTACAATCAAATAACTCAACAAAAAGAAGCCTTGTGTGGGTCTGATAGAGGGATCTCCTGTCTGAGATATACAACACCTAAGTTCTTATACTGGCTCTGCCACTTGTTATCCTTGGGACCTAGAGAAAATCACCTAACCCTCAGATCTTCAAGGGTCTTCATCTGTAAAACAGGACAGTACAATATTTGCCTGTAAACCTCATAGCATTTTGTGAGGCTCAAATGAGACTGTGGGTGGAAAAACATTTGTAAAACACAAACTGCTTGTACTGATATTATACAGAGTCTTTGAAACAATGGTATCATATATAGATGGGTTTGGAGCTACAGCAAGAAAATGTTCATGAAAGTTTCCCTGGGGAGGACTTGAAATAAGACTTAGTCCAGTACAAGACATTCTTAGTCTCTGGCAAATCATTTCACTGTCTTCATATTATGGCTTCCTCTTTGTATAACCACTTGAGTTATTGAGCATCTATGTTGTTCCAGATACCAATGGACAACATATCTGAAAGCATGTTATCTAACATGGTAAAAAATATTACTTTTTTGAGACTCTACCTGTTATTTCACAACACTCCTTAGTGTAACCTGATGAGATAGTAACCTTCCCATTTTACATCTAAAGACACTGAAGTTAGAGTTTAGGCAGTTAGTAGGTGATAGAACTAGATTCCAACTTCTTCCTAATTTTAGAGCCTATACTATTTTCTGCCATGCCATGCTTCCTGAAGAGATAAATTCTTGCATCTGCATATACCAAAAGAAAGGTGGGAAGACAACACAGATAACACACGATGGGGAAGCCATCTCTGCAAATACCTGCAGTGCTTGCCACTGCACGGCCATGTTCTAACGCTCCCTGAGCACCTGTGCATACTGCGCTCATTCTTGTTCTTCAATCCACAGGTGTCTGAAGAACTACCAGTATGTTTGCTACCTCTTTGCTGTGGGACTAGATGGGCTCTGCTATCTCTGCCTCCCAATGCTTCAAAGTCTCCCCCTGCTCGTGCCTTTCTCGTGTACATTTGGCTACTTTGATGGTGCCTACGTGACTTTGATCCCAGTAGTGACCGCAGAAATAGTGGGGACCACCTCTTTGTCATCAGCGCTTGGTGTGGTGTATTTCCTTCATGCAGTGCCATACTTGGTGAGCCCACCCATCGCAGGTAAGTTTCCAAAGAAAACCCCAATCACCTCTTCTCCTGGTTGTAGTGATGTAAAAACAGTGAACTCAAATACAGAAAATAACAACCGGAAGTAAATTGGGAAAGAGTGAAAGAGAAAGGGAAGCAAGAGACACCAAAACATCATGATCTGATCTACATCCTTGTTTTATAGTCTTCTAACCAAATAGGAAGCTTAGCCTACCTGGAAAGAACATGTCCCAAATTAGGGTCTTGGTTCCATTCCACAGTAATGATGGGGGCAATGGCATGGAGCAGCTGTTCAGACTTATAAATGAGTCAGGGCCATTCAGAGGGAAGTCTGGCGGGAGCATAGGATTCTAATAGGAGGCAGTGGGTGGTAAGGCTGAAATGGTAAGTGTGGGTGTCAGAGTGAAGTGTTGAGTGCCAGCCAAAGGAGCTGGGACCCCATATTCTTCATAGTATTCGTTTTTGTGCAAAGGGGTAATATGGTAAAGAGTATATTTTAGAAAATGCGATCTAGCAATTGATCTGGTTATTCAGGGAAGAAACAGAATTTCATTCTAATAGTTCAGGAACAAATGATAAAGGCCTGAACTAGGGTTGCTGCAAACAGAAATGAAAATGAGGTCTGAGACCAAGGAGGAAGTTTTATGAAAAAAGAAAGAAAAAAAATCAACTGAATTTAGCATATGGGGTGAAGGAGAGAAAGAAGTCCATAGAAAATAATGGCATGGTTTAAAGAAATAAGGAAGTTGGAGAAAGTGGCTTTGCCAGAAAAGTAATGAATTTAATGTTTAGACATATTGATATCTGAAATACCCAATCAAATGACCAGTAGAGCTGTGTAAGAATGAAATCTGAACTTTAGAGGGAGGCCAGATTTGACAGACAGATTTGGGAGTCATCAGATAAAGCATCTAGAATGTTTTGCAAACTGTAAACTGCTACAGCAATTTAAAGCGTGATTAAACAAGTGATTCAATAAATCTGTATTGCTTGTGCACACCGACATTGTGCTTGGCACTGTTGATATAGCAGCAAACAGGTTGGAACCTGTTCCTCCTTCCTGGAGTACAGGATCCAGACCAGCGTCTCTCAGACTGAGGTCCTGGGACCACCTGCATCAGAATCCCAGGGGCCCTTGTTAAAAATGCAGATTCCTTGACCCCCGCTCTGCGATCTGAATCCAGGAATCTACATTCTCAACCAACTTTCTTGTAATTGGCAAACTCACTAGAGTGAGAATACTTGCTCCAGATTATTACCTGCCTAAATTAAAACCGAGAGAATGAAGGCCTCTGAAGACAGGCCAAAGAGAAACGAGCCAAACATTTGCCTAGAAGGAAAAGTAGGGAATTTTTTGAAGAAGGCAGGGTTTCTGCTTTAGCTGCTGCTGTGAATAGACAGAATAGGGTTACTCCCAAACCCCAGCAGTTGCTGAAAACAGCAAACAAGGGAAAACTGGCTGCTTGATGGCTGCAGATGAAAATTCTGGATCAGTTTAAACTCCATGACATAGGACGATATGTTTCGTTTTCTTTTTTGAAAACTGCCCCCAAAATGTTCCCACATCCCCCCTTCATAGCCAATTTTTGTTTACTAATTTTAGGAGCAGTGTAATTCTGTTAAAAAGTCATAGGACACACATGACATTGGGATTCCTGGATCTTTTTTTTAATCTATGGCCTTTATTTGGCAAATCAGACATTATACTCATTGCCAGGTATTAGGGGATTAGGGTGTGAGTACTCATTGTAATACTTCTATTTTTAATTACCTTTAAAATGACAACTCTCTTCTCAGTCTCTTCTGTTTGCTGCTACAGAAATGCACAAGTAAATCACAAGATAACTAGAATAGAATATTTGAGAGTACCTTGGATTGCAGGGAACTTCCTGGGGCTTAAAACAATTTCTACATGCCACCTTTGACTAATGGACTTGAAGTGGGTGAGAGGAGACACCATAAACTTCTCTGGTGGATTTTCTTGGCATATAAGTAAAGTTTGGAAGAATTGAACTTTTAAATTACCAAACAATTGCCTGCCAAGGTCTAATTTTACCTCATCGATTTTCTGATCATTGTGGCCCATATTTTGCATATCATATGCTTTGGTTCTTCTCAAAATTTAGAACTGAAAGAGATGTTGAGACTAAGCTGCTGTAACAAGAGATAAGAGAAACAAAAAGCTGTGGTAACAGAATCATGCCTTCTGAAATTTGCATTTGCAACTTCTAAAATGACTCAAAGTTTTGGTTTTCAAACTAAATGGGGTACAATGACTGTATCCAATTGAAAATTTAGAGTCTGCTTTATCCAGAAGCATATTATGTTACTGAAAATAGACAGTATGTGGGTGCTGGGAATACTACTAGCTTTTTGTATGATTATTTTCTCTTAACAAGCTAGATAATTAAGCCTAACATCAATAATTTGAATAATGCTATTTTTATCTTTCTACCTTATTTTAATGGGATTAATAAATATTTATTTTTATTACTAAGAATGTGACACGCTTTCAAGCACTTTCCGTAACAACAGTCCATTTTAGAAGTTTCCCTAGAAAATAGAATGCATTTTTCAGTTTCTACACAATATTTTTAGGAGATCTGCTTTTTGTGTCAAGATTATAATGGCGGTGCCAGCAATCTATTGTTGTTATCCTTACAAATTATTAGATTTGAGAGTAGGTAATTGAATTTTCAACTCGATAATATAATTTTGCTGTTGCTTGTTACAGGATGGCTGGTAGATACGACTGGCAGCTACACCGCAGCCTTTCTTCTCTGTGGATTTTCAATGATATTTAGTTCTGTGCTGCTTGGCTTTGCTAGACTTGTAAAGAAGATGAAAAAAACCCAGCTGCGGTTCCCTGCTAAAGAATCTGATCCCAAGCTGCAGCTATGGGCCAATGGATCGGTGGCTTATTCTGTAGCAAGTGAATTAGATCAGAAAGACGGGGAATCTGTGGCTATGGCAGTGCCTGGTTACAACCCCACATGACCAATGACTGAGCCTGGGGATCTGCAGGGCTGAGAGAGGTGGGACCACTGGATTGTACATGTTTCTAAAACATTTTATTTTGGCGGAAGCATTGCCTCCCAAGGAAATTATTATTGTTGTTTTGTTAACATTTATGGGGGGAAATAGCAAATAACAAAGCAAGCTGGACTGACTCAGTTTCCTCATTTGAGACTTGTACTCACAATTCAACTCACGTCTTTCGGGCAATGAGCATCCTCCATGGGGAATATTAGGACGTAGCTGATATAATTAGATGTAATTGGAGGTAATTTCAAGGCATGACCAAAGCAGATGACCCTGGACAGCAGCTTTTTCTGAAACTCCCTTTTCAGTTAGAAGGTAAAGGGAAACATTTACATGTAGGTGTGTTTACTTTACGCTGTTTGGAGAAGGGGCTCAGCTTGAGTGTGGTGGTGAAAGGTGAAGATGCCAAACCTTTTTCATAGAAGAGTTTCTCATTAGGGTTTTAAATGGGGTTGTTGAAGAATCCTTCCAAAGGCAATGATTAATACAGAAAGAAAGGGACTGTCTTTTCCCCCCCCTCTTACTCCTCCAACTAGCCCTTGCCTTTGGGTAGGCACCACTTTGAGAATCCAAAGAATCATGGAATGCCATAGTGGAAATGATCTTAAAGGGTGGCTGGTAAGATCTATTTGAAATTGTGCACTGGAAACTGAAAGCGTTTTCCCTAAGACTGTGTCCCAGGTTCTCACCTCTGTTACTATCACATACAATACTTTAAATTTCTCAGAACACACCAAGTTACAAGGGCGATTTCTACCTGAAAAGTTAACACCAACACTTCCTGGTTTGTTTGTTTTTTCCTTAGGAGAAAAAAAAAAAAGCTCCAATTTAAATTGCAGACACATTCCTGTTAGGAACAGAAAAATGTTGGCAATATTCCAACTGGCCAGGACTTGAATTCTTGAATCAGCAGGTCTCTGGTGAGAGTTTTTTCCTCAGACATTTGGGTTTATCATTACAAAAAATAGGACTTTGGGGCTCTGCTTGAAAAATATTCTAGAGATATTCTAAAGGTAAGATTCCTTTTTCCCTATGTTAGTTCTTGCTCCATTGTGCACTACTCTCTACTCTTCATCTCTTTATGGATAATTGTTAGAAACTTGGTGGGCCATTTCAGCTGAAAGAGAACGCTTCAGGGTTTAACCTCAGCATTATAGCACTCTCATAAATTACAGCTTTGGTCAGGGGAGAGGGACGAGAAGGTTAAGAAGGCGAGTGGTGTGATATTTTACAGTTTATAGACCTCTTTTACATACCTTAACTCATTGGATTAGAGTAGTTTACCAATTGCCAAGTCCTCTACTTTCCAATGGTTTGGGATAGTCACTGAGTCTTCAGATTGAAGAGGGCGGGCATGGGAAGCGAAGAGAACGGCCAGATCCCCCAATCTATCTCCATCCATTTTACATCCACAGAATTATAATCCTGAATCCCAAATTATGTTACCCCTGTAAATAGGGCAAGTTACACAATTGAAAGGGGATTTTGATTATTTAACACATTTAAATCTGACCCTCAAGGAACTGTTTTGACCCTGAAGGCCATAAAATCCAATGTCCCCCAACAGGCCTCACAAATGCCCTGCCAGGGGAATTGAGAGAAAAAACACAGCAGTGAGGAGTCGTCTAAGTCGACTAAGCATGTCAGCAAGAGTCTTTGTCTATAACTGGGTTATTTCATGAAATCACATATTAATACATTGCTTTCAGAATCAAATACTGACTTGATTTGATGGGAGAAACCTGTAATATTTCATAGTTGTTTTCCAAAGATAAATTTGAATGTTACTCGTATATTTTTACTTAGAGAATTTTGTTTTGAACTCACTTTGTCATTTTTAATTTTAAAAAATATTTGAAAAATATCTGTAAAAAGTCAAAGTTAAAAATGAAGTTCTATGTGTTTGAAATAGCACTTTACACTAAAAGTCATTTGTTGAATCTTCAAGTGTAAACATTTTTTTGAAATATAGTTATAAATATTATTATACATATTTTGCCTAGTGATGGTCACAGTAAAATTTTATTTATCAGGCTCTGAAATATAATTTCCCTAAAGTATTATAAATATTCATGAAAAATGAGCATAGAGATCAGAGCTTTTAAAATTTTGTATAAAATATTTGGGATATTTTGACTTTATACATGCATAAATTTGTATTTTATTTTCCTTTTTAGAGTAGCATTTCTAGAAAACCAGTAAGGAAAATGTAGAGATTTAGAGACTATCATTGTCATCTACACAGAATTTCACTGTTAAGATTCCATGTGCCTATGTTGTTTATTTCAAAATGGAAGGATTCATGAAAATGATGTGTTTTGTGGAATCAAGAATAAAATTGTGGTGGGATGATTTTAAATCTTAAATATTTCTTTATATTACTGCAAGCTCTACTCTGAAATTGACTCAACAGGAGGCAAAGGAAACTAATTTCTATAGATACACTGGACCGTTGGGCCTCTTTTTCAGATTGCGATTTCACTAATAGATCAGATATTTATACTAATACTTTCTTATTTCAAGAGTTTAATAAAATGAATTTACAGTTGTGTTTGGAAAAACATTTTTCCCCTGCACGAGGGGTTTGAATTGGATGGTGAGTGGCCTGTCTAGATCATGCTAAGATATAGCTGGCATATAAAGAGGTGGGAAGTAACCAAATAATTTACAAAAACCAAAATCATTTATTGGGTTCTTCCAATGTGTTAGCTTCTGTGCTAAGCACTTCTTTTTTTTTTTTTTTAAAGATTTTATTGGGGAATCGGGGGAAGGGGAACAGAGAAGTTACTGTTGTTTTGTTCTTCAGTCTAGTTGTGGAGGATGTTGCTTCATTGGCCCAAACCAGCACCATCATTGCGCTCTACCCGGGCGAGGTAGATCAGTCGCTGGCCTCTGGACCACCGCTCACGGCAGCTGCTGGCCGTTCACACTGGCTGCTGGCTACACACGGTAGCCCATGGCAACCCACTGCAGCAGGGGACTGCAGCCTATGCCGTCGCTGGCGACCCATGGCAGCCCAGCCCAGGTCGAGCTGCCATTCACCATCTTAGCTGTGGAGGGCAGTGTCACTGGCCCTCATATGTGGGATCCGAACCGTGGCCCTCTGGCATCCCAAGCCTGTTCTTAACCAACACGCCACTCGGCCGGCCCTAAGCACTTCTTATGCATTGTCTTATTTAATCCTCATAATAAGCTAAGTTATCACTATTCTATAGATGTGGAAACTGGGGCACCAGGTCCCAAAGCTGTGACTCACAGGCCACTGCACTCCAGTGCTCTAGTGCAATCCTGTAAAACCAGGAAGCTATCTGATGCTGGAGCCTGCCTCCTTCCCTTTGTGCTCACTCAGATGTCTCCTTGTGGGTTCAAGAAGCTATTTGGAAACAGACCCTCTTTTGAGCAGATAAAATCCTTTGGATTATGCTTGAATCTTCCAATTGGTATAGATGGGAAGATTCTAGGTTGGAGATTTCCAAGAGTTTTCCCAAGAGTCTGGTTCTATCGAGACCACTACTTCTAGGCTAAGTGATTTAATTTGCTGTCTATTGATCCAGGCTTCTCTTAGGGAACATCTGTGTGGGGGCAGTAGGGAGAAGGTTGGGGAGCACACTTTCTCACAAAAAGGAGTTCCTTCTTCCACATGACCAAAGTCAGCTTTCTCCGTCAGGAGTTGACTTCTTTCTGAAGTGCCTGCACCATTGCCCAGTGATGGTGAAGATGATTATGTCAACTTGGCACTCATCTTCCTGGTCCCAATATGTATAGTTCTGAAATTGTTGAAATGAAATAGAGTGAACGCAAGGTAGATATCTGAGTTTCTTTTCTCATACTTCAAAGTTTGAGTCTTCTCTTTTTTTTAAACTCTACCAGACAATAGGTTTTTATACCTGCTGCCAACGCTGCCTGCTACTTGATTGAGGCCTGAATGTAAAAATGATGCAACTATGTTCAACCCACACAGACAGGCTTAATTTAAATAGTTCCGTTGTGCTCACATTGAGTGCAAGGCCTGGGGGGCGGGGCACTGTCCACACAAGGGAGCCCTCAACATTGGGAAAAGATGCAGCACATGTGCCTCATGCATGAAAAGATGGAGTTTCAGTTATAGGCAGCACACTAGCTGTTTTTGCTTCACAAAAACTTTATGCTAAGGGCCGGCCGAGTGGCTCAGTTGGTTAAGAGCTCGCTCAAGAGTTTGAGCTCTGAGCAACAGCGGTTCGAGTCCAGCCCGAGCTGAGCAGCCGCTGAGCTGCCAACAGGTAGCAGGATGGCTCAGCTTAAAAACAAACAAACAAACAAAAAAACCTTTATGCTAGGGTTTGGCTAGGAGTAGGAAAAGTCCCTGGCTAGAGTCTTTGCCCAGTCGTATGGCTGGCCTCTAACACATAGGACATTACTGAAAATTAGACAGTATGCTGGCAAGCACTTTTAAGAGTGGCTGAGAGGAGATAACCGACAACTACTTACTAAGCACCTCTTTGTAATCTGCCATGTTATAGATGGTGGGGAATTCAAAATACACATAGCACCCCCTCCACAACTCAAATTTACTGCCTAATTGGCAAATTGAAAGTAACACAAGTGAGAAAAGCACCACAATGTTATTAAATGCTGAGGCTAAGAGCACTGTATATTCTGGGAGTTAGGAGAGGAAGAAGTCATTATTGGCTGGAGAAATTTAAGGAGGTTCTGAGGAGCCCAGGAATGGGATTGAATGGGTTGGAATCAACCTCTACTCTTTTCAGGGGAAGAAGCTGGGAGTCAGGGAAACGGATGTGAGGCAGCCGCTTTATGTGGCTGCTGGAGATTCCGACAGATACCTAAGGTCAATGCAGAACCAAACACAACTTGACACTAATAAATGTTCTGGTGAGGGGACTTACCAGGGTGTCTGGGACTTTCAGGGTTGCACTTGGCTTCTCTAAATTGAAAACAGATTTTTAAGGCATGGTGTTATACAATATTCATCTTGCAACTCTAAGAAGGGGTCATTTGTAAGTTTTCTCTTTTTCTTTGGTGTGCTTTTTTTTTAATTTACTTTTTTATTAAATATAGTAGGTATAGAACCTTATATTGGTTATATTAGTTTCAGGTGTACAATACAGTGATTTGACATTTTTACATATACCTTACAATGAGATCACCCCACTAATTCTAGTAATCATCTGTCATCATGTAAACTTACTACAATATTATTGACTACATTCCCTTTCCCTTTTCCACCCATCCCCCCACACCCTCCGTTCTGGTAACCATCCCTTTGGTCTCTGTTTTGATGAGTCTCTTTTTATTTGTTTTGTTTTATTTTTAGATTCCACATATAAGCGAAACCATACAGTATTTGTCTACACCCAGGTTGCTTCCATATCTTGACTATTATAAATAATGTTGCAATGATCATAGGGGTGCGTATATGTTTTCAAATTAGTGTTTACATGGGTTTTTTTTGTTTTGTTTTTTTGTTTTTGATAAATACCCAGAAGTGGAATTGCTGGATTGTATGGTAGTTCTATTTTTACTTTTTTGTGGAACCTCCATACTGTTGTCCATAGTGGCTGCACCAGTTTGCAGTCCCACCAACAGTGCATCAGGGTTCCCTTTTCTCCATATTCTCTCCAACACATGTTACTTGTTGACTTTTTGATAATAGCCATGCTGACTGGTGTGCGGTGGAATCTTATTGTGATTTAGGCGTGCACTTCCCTGATGACTAGTGAGTTTTCTCTTCTTAAAGGGTCCAGAGCTTCAGGAAAGTTTTTTCCTTTTATTTTTTTTAATACTTTTTATTTATTTATTTATTTATTTATTTATTTATTTATTTATTTATTTATTTATGTTGACATGTTATGCAGCACTGCCATCTGCTGGAATTAGTGAGTCTCTATCCCCTAAGTTGGTGATGTCTCCAATTACAGTTCAGCTGGACAAGGCCAGCCTCAGAACAAATATTAAAGCTTGTTATTGTTTTCTGCTCTTGTCCCCAGCCCTGCTCATTACCCATTCCACATTTATCCTCCTGCAAGTATAAATAGAGGGATAAGGATGCTGTGTGGTGTTTTTCAGCGTTTTGATTGCAGAGATCATTTTTCTATGTGGAGTATCAAAGTTAATATGATTGATTTGACTATGGATAACCATTGGTGAACTTTAATGTAAAAAAAATTTTTTTGAGCCCTCTGCCTTCCTTGGGAACCCAGATTGCCACCCTGGGTTTCATTCTTTTTTTTTTTTTTTTTTAAGATTTTTATTGGGGAATTGGGAGATGG